GCGAATCAACACAATGTTAGAGGCAGTCGAGAACGAACTTATAAAAATTTTGAAAACTTGTTAATTTTTTAGTTTGCAACTTGACGAAAGTACCGACGTAGAGGGACTTAATATTCTTCTCGTGTTAGTGAGGTCACAATGCAGATCGAAGAAGAAATTTTGATGAGCAAAGTACTTGAGACTTACACCACTTGCGACGAAATTTTTAAAGCTATCAACAAATTTGTACAGAAAAATGGTCTGAACTGGAGCAAGTGTGCGGATATTTGCAGTGGTTGGAAAAACGAAAGGAGCGATGTCTAGGATGAAGCAAGGGGCAGAAACGCCAGAAAAGTCACTGTATGATCCGTCGGTATTCCCGGGGGACTAGGAAGATGCCGCCACTAGATTTAAAACCCTTATTGGATGACGCGGCGAAAATTGCCATTCTCGTCTTTTAAAATTATCGTTGACAAAACTGTCGCCAGTCATATGAAATTTATATGTAAATCATATGTAATAATTGCATTTGCATTATTTTAGTTTTAGGAAATATTCAAAATTATTGAAAAGTAATGAAATGCGCGCCATTACCGTATAAATAAATTTACAAAACTCTCCTGTGAAAGCTTTCCGACGGATCTATTTGCTTTTGCCGCCATTGTCGCGACAATTTTGTCAGAGTGACAATTGTCAGCACAATTGTCGACAATATTCCATATTATCACTGTCATTTTCCAAAAATTTTCACAGTTGCCTACAAACGTATATGAAACAGGAAAATGTCGCCAACAATTCTGGCAGTGAAATTTTATAGAAAAATGGACAATTGTCGCACCTGTCACTTTTATGAAATATGCCCCTGGACATTAGTGAATCAGCACTTTGAATATTGAATACTACGAAGGTAGCCAAGAGAGTTGCAAGTGCAAGTGTATGCGGAAAAAACTGCTGTTGGCAAGATTGCAATAAAAATACTAGTACCTTTTACTTTTACATTTCTATGTGAGACAACAACAAATGCTTGCATAAACTAGTAATTTTTAAGCAAAAAAAAAAAAAAACAAAACCGACTTAAATTCCGATATACAAATTTAAGATTATCGTTAATCTCTTCATGATCCAATGATCGCATTTAAACCAAATTAGAATGGGACCACCTGTGAGGCAACACCTTTCCTTTAAAAAAGAATCATAGTAATCGGTTTACGTGGTTCAACAAAGTTATGTGGTAACATACATAAAAAAAATAATAATAAAAATATGCCAAATGATATCAGGGTAAAATTGTCAAAGCTCCCAATAAACTTAAAGGAAATAATAAAATCATCAAAACAATTTCAGTCCTCACATTAAAGCTAAAGGAGCATAAAGTTTGCATTGTGCTGGTTTTCGTAGATATTTGAAGGGTAGGGGTGCCGCGAAATTTGTTTATCACAAGGGTGCCGCGGTGAAAAAAATTTGGGAACTCCTGCTCTACGTCAAAAGACGTTGTTGGACGGAATTTAAAAGATAAAAAATTCTCCAGGTGAAAATATTGCCACATTTCATTGAAGTGTTGCTTCACACACAATATTTTTGTTGCTGATATTGAGCACGTATAATAGATGCAGAATAAAACTCCCTGCTCAGTTCGCAACACATCTGGGGCTGGTTTCTGTAACTGTGAGAAAATGTAGTGTACACCGAGTGCAAAAATCACAACAAAAACCTCACAGAATAAAATTCAGTGAGTTTTTCGGAAGATAACTGTACACAATTTTGACAGTTAAAACTCATTCTCACACTTCCTGAATCGCAAAATGAAGAGTGCACACAATTTTCAGTGTACACTCTAAAACTCACAGTTACGGAATCCAACCCCTGGAAACTGATAAACAGCTTTCGCTAAAAACAAAAAATTTTGATTGAATTTTTCAACCACCAAAATCAGTTTAGCGCGAAACTTCACTATTGGAAAACAACAGTCGAAATATTTTTACGAGTATATTAAAATTTCTTACTAGAAAATAACAGGATTTTCCTTTGTTTGTCAGCTTTTTCTTTTTGTCAATTAAACAAACCTCGTCAACCACCCTGGCTATCTCCGCAAAGGTATTGTCAGATGAAATTATGCGAAAATTAATTAACTTGTTGCCAAAATAATCATGTTTATGCATTTTTATGCTTTTTAGCCAAAATATGAATTTTATGTCATAATATGCGTTTGCATATGCGATATGCGATCGATTTTTCTGTTACGGCTGATTTAGAAGACATTAGCAAATCAGTACCATACCTGGAACAGAAAATAATGATGAAAATTCGAGCGTCATCCCTAAAAACGATGCGTCGACATTCAATGTAGTCCATGATAGCAACATTAAAAAACATTAAAAAAAAAAACTTTTTAATGTACCATCCATTTATAAATGGACTAAAATTAGAAAATAATATTTCTCAGTCCCATAGAACTTGTTTTGATAACTTTTGATTTTGAAATTTTAGCAAAAGTCATTATAAACAATTTATGAGATTGAAAACGAAAAACGTGGAGCGCATGCAATACAAAGCATTAGATTTAATTGACAATATTAAAACTACACACATAACATAGACCTAAAATTTCTACAGCGAAAGTACAAATGTGAGATCGATTTTAAGCGGTCGTTATTAATATACAATATTACTCTTCAATTTCAAATCAGGCCTATTATATGCGCCCCACGCTTTTCGTTTTCAATCTCATAAATTGTTTATAATGACTTTTGCTAAAATTTCAAAATCAAAAGTTATCAAAACAAGTTCTATGGGACTGAGAAATATTATTTTCTAATTTTAGTCCATTTATAAATGGATGGTACATTAAAAAGTTTTTTTTTTTNAATCGATTTCCTATTACCGGTCGCTCTAAAACGTCCGCCGAAGGCAACTCGCCTGGGCGAGTCGTTTTCTTATTACCTGAACGAGTCCTTTTCTTATCGCTTCAGGCGATTTTTGGAATAATTTTATTCTTTTTAATACTTCATTTATTTTTTTGTACCAAATTGCAACTTACAATCGGAATTAATTCATTTTCTCGCTCTGCGACTTCCTATTTTTTCAATCTTGTCCTTGGGCATAATTTAGATGCTTTTGGCCAATACTATTGACGCCATATTCATAAGTTTCGGAATTTTTGAGAACTTTTTTATTCAAAATTGACATGAACGAAGTGATGTTGCCGATTTGTCACCACAGCAATAAATCGGTGAGTCGCCAATTTGTTGCCATTGGCGATTGTTGCTTATTTCTCATGTTTTGCATGGTGGGTGTAGTAAAATACGTGTATATTTCTAAACTACTACACAGAAAAAAGTGTCAAATCATCACAAGGGCGGTTCAGGGAATTTAATAATTATTGGGTCATAGTTTGCGGTATATTCTTGAAACCTTTTGATATACAGACATCGAATACTGGTGTTCATATGCCTGGATCATGCAACTCCAAAAAACCATTTTCCCAATAGCTTGAAAACAAATAATTGAACATATTCAAACGCCCAAATATCACAAATTAGAGAATTAGATCATATTATATCATACTTAATATAAATATGTATTAAAAAACATATATGAAATAAACCACCTTATGCAAATATATTGTTTGAATTATAATTAAACTTTATTAATTTAATTATTAATTTATTTAATTAAACCGTTTTTACAATGTGTCAGAGTAATATTTATTAACGCACTTAATAATATTTATAATGTTATGATATATATTTAGCAACAACAAGAAAGTTAAATTAGTTTTACCACTATTGGCGAAATCTTAAAGGGTTTTAATATTCATAAGCTGAGATCCTGGTACAAATGAGTTATAAGAATTGCAACAGCGATAAGTAGGAAAGGAACAAATATTTGCAGATTATCATGTTAAGTTACACTTGTTACTGATTTGCAAACAAAATTAGTTTTGTGTATTTATTTCTAACATATTTTTTGTCTTCTATGTATTTTTTTTGTATAAAAGAAGAACTGATCAGACGATAACACCGTGCAACAAAAATAAAATAATTTTAAAACCCGCGAAACAATCAATATTCTCACGAAACTAGGAGCCAAATATGGTAAAACTGCATTAATACTTTTTCTCTCTGACTACAGGATTTTTTTAAAAGGACTTTGAAATTTCAGATATGATAAGATAAAATATGGGTATCAAATAAATTAAAAATACTTTTTTTGGTAAACAAGGACGAATAGTTATTGAAAATGTGCGTTTAACTATTTTTTTTTATTTATTCTAAACTAATAAAGTTAGGAGGACGAAATTCGAAGATGTTATGATACATATATCAGTGTTCGAAACAGAATTTTTCCAATAATGAATATTTCAAATTTTCAAGGATATTCAAAGATAAAACTTTAAAACGTTTAAAAACAGAATTTACAGAATTTTATATTTTGTTTGATACCCATATTGTTATTCTCAATGGTAGCGACATCTTTTAGTTAACTATATCTTTGAAATTTCAAAGTCCTTTAAAAAATCCTGAAGTCAAAATGAAAAATTAAAAACGCAGTTTTACTATATTTGACCCCTAGTTTCGCGAGTATATTAATTTTTGTGTGCTATGATATAAAATAATGAATCAAATTAAAGAAAATTTCTGCTGGTTACGGTTTTACACTGTAACACGTCTATTCTGCCCGTTACCGAAGATTTTGTAACCGGAAAATTTTATTACCAAACAATGTTACCAGTTCTTGTCACCGCGATTCTAGGTACGTTGGTGATGCAGGTAAAATATTCAGCAATTCAGCTATGAAGAATTGTGCAAATTCTGGTATTGCATATTTCACGGGGCAATATTTTGTTACCAGCTTATGAGATGGTAACAAAATTTACCGGTTACAAGAGTACACAGAATGCGAAAAGGGTTTAAAAATTGACAGACACTTTATTTACCGGTTACAAACTTCTTATTACCAGCGCAGAATAGACCTGTAAATGACTATAAGTTCATATAAAACTAAATTAAAGATAGCCAAGTACTTATTTACTAATATTTTAATTTAATACTAATGCATTATTAGTTCTTCTGCGTACTTCACCTTCTTCCATAAACATCTTTTATTATCTTGTAGTTTCTTTATAATTCTATTATTTTTTTTTGTAGTGCATTCTTCATCATATCTATAACTCGTTTAGCGCGACGAGGTGTGGCAACATCATCTACACAAACTTCGTTTATATAACGCGGTTCGTTAAACAAACGTTTGCCGATCTCTGGAATTAGAAATCATATTTAGCAAAATCCCATAATTCCGTTAGAAGAATACTATACCTAAAAGTAACTTACTACGACCAAAACCTTCAGATAAAAGTAGTTCTTTCGGAATAGCTATATCCTGATCGGACCCTGAAATAAAATATTGTATTTAGCTATTTAAAAACAACAAGCGAACATTATCTCAAAAAAGCCTTACCCCAAGCAAAATCTGCGTGTAGTGTAAGCTCGGTTGGTGGGCATTGCGATGGCACTGACTGCACATCATGGCTCGGCATATAGGTACTACTGCATTGCCCGGATATTCCTAGATGTACATATATGAGGTCGCAGCAGCAAAGTCGGCGAAATTCCATAGCGAAGATACTTACCCTTTCCATTTACTTTGTAATCATTGGTGTTGAAATGGTTGGAGCTTGGGGGAAGAAGCGGTGACCATGCCGTTGATGACAAATACTGCTTTGTCGGCAATTAGGCATTGGGTGGTCTTGGCATTGAAAGTGAAATGGTTTAAGTAGTAATGAACTGAAGTGACAAAGAATGCCATCAAGGTCTTTTGATAATGATATTTGATATTTATTTGTGCGAGTTGAATTGTGAAATGATTTGGGTTAGTTTGCTTCGACTTGTTTGTTCTTTAAAAGTCACACTACACCTCCCTTTTTAATAAGAATGTTCATATGACTGTAGTTTTATGGACATTCTTTACCAATATTGTTTTTGACTTTTATCAGTTTCTTTTTGTTTTCTTGTTTTTCCTTTTATTATTATTTCTTTAATTATTGTAATTTTTAAGTCTATTCTTATGAACTATTTGGTTTTTATTGGTTTTATTGTCTATTATTTGTACATTTCTTCTTAAAAGTATATCTCTTATGGTAAATGGACCTTTATACTGAGGTTCTAACTTATGTCCTGATTAATTTTTTAATAAAACTAAATCTCCTATTTTAAAATTATATTCTTTTTCTTTTCTTTTTGTTTATTTATTAAGTGTTGGGCCCTTACACTAGCTACTTCTAATCTAAATTTAGCTTCCTTAGCGTAATCATCTACATTATATAATGGGGTAATTCTATCTATCTCTCTAAATTGTTCGAAACTATTAGGTATTTTAGCAAATATTAATTCATATGGGCAGTAGTTATGTACTGTTGATGGTGTCGTGTTGAAACAGTATGTGAAATATTTAAGCCATTCATCCCAGTCGGTTTTATCTATTGATATGTAGGAGCGAACATATTCATTGAATGTTCTGTGACTCCTTTCTATAGTACCGAGGGTTTGGTGATGATGTGCTGTAGAAGTTATTTTTTCTATTTTGAGCAATTCACATAATTCCGTAAGTATCGCATTTTTGTATTCTGTTCCCATGTCCGAAATGAACGTCTTCATTGGACCATAAACGAGAATAAAATGTTCAAATATAGCTTTTACGATTGCTTTTGCGTATTTGTCTTGTATAGGTATTGTTACTAGGTACTTTGTCAAGTCACATATTATAGTGATTGCATATTCATTTCCGTTAATCGATTTTGGAAATGGACCGATGGTATCAACGAATACCGTATCGAAAGCTTGTACCGGTGTCTTTGTAATAGTCATTGGATTTTTCAGGTGTTTTAATGTTTTTGTAGTTTGACACTTATGGCATGACTTTACGTATTTTTTAATATCTTTAGTCATGTTTTTCCAATAGTAGTATTTTTTTATTTTTTCGGTGGTGCTATAAATTCCGCAGTGACCTCCTTCAATTGGGTCATCATGATATCTTTTTAAGATATTTTTAATTTTAGCATTGTCATCAATTTGGATCACCTTGTTCAGTAGCGCTACTTTTACTTGATTTAATATTTCATTGCCCTTATTTTTAAAATCAATAATCGAGATAAATTCGAAAATCTTCTCGTTTGGTGCCAATTGTAGTCTATCAGTTTTGTATTTACCGGCCACTTCATCGAGCCTTGAGAAAAATTGACCTAAGTCAAATTTCTCATTAGTAAATAAATCATTGATATATATATACGCAATTATCGATTTACCTCTTTTGATGTAACATCTTTCAGGGGTAATCTTTAATTTACAATATTTCCTGACGTCAGTGTTATTTAAAGGAACGTATATATTGGGCTTATTATATATTTGATGATGCTTATTTAATTTACTACCTGTGCATGCTGTGTCTTTTTTATGTGTCATTGAACGTGTTGTTATTCTGAGTACTTTAGCTACTGACTCAGTCATTTCTTTTAGATTGTCTATTGTTATTCGCGATAAAG